ATAGATAATTTATACTGTATACTGGTTGTTGGGGTGGGATTGGCATGAGGTTTGTGATTCCTCATGTCTTACTCATTGGTAGGAAAAGGTTTGGTCCAAATCGGATGTTGGGTACTATATTTATTGAATATTATCTGAATCCTATAAATTAAAATGGCCCCAATTTAGGTGCAATCAATTAGCAATCTTACCCGTTTCTAACTACTGAAACCATTTCAGAACAATTTGAGATGGTGGGTGACATGGCTTGCTGAAATGACATGTAACGACTCATAGGTATTCCCTTTGTCAAGGTGGGTGTGGAGCAATGTTCCCTCAAAAACAATTAGGCACTGAGCAGGTCTGCTGAGCGCAAACTTGAACGTTGTGAAAATTCTGTGCAACTTCCAGCGCGCATTTACAGTGAACACTGAGGCTGGACCTGCTTTAGGTTAGTTTTAACAGTGGCCAAGTAGGCTAGTGTGGCTATTTGATCATAATGTAGGCCTACCAGAGTGGCCTACCATCAAAAACAATGGAGAAAATGCATCCCTTAACATTTTAACATGAAATAGCTGTTCTATCATTCAGCCTACAGGAGCAGCCAATGTGTGGTGTTCAATGTAGGCCTACATGTAAATCAAATTAAATCAAATGTTATGTGTCACGTGCCGAATACAACAGGTGTAGACCTGACAGTGAAATGCTTACTTACAAGCCCTTAACCAATAATGCAGTTTTAAGAAAAATAAGTTTTAATAAAGTATTTACTAAAATAAACTGAAGTAAAAAATAAATTGAAAAATAACTAATAATTAAAGAGCAACAATAAAATAACAGTAATGAGGCTAAATACATGGGGTACCGGTACAGAGTCAATGTGCGGGGGCACAGGTTAGTCGAGGTAATTGAGGTATTAGGTACATGTAGGTAGAGGGGGTGGGGGGGGGGGGGGGTGTCAATGCAAATAGTCCAGGTAGACATTTGATTAGCTGTTCATGAGTCTTATGGCTTGGGGGTAGAAGCTGTTAAGAAGCCTTTTTGGACCTAGACTTGGCGCTCCGATACCGCTTGCCTTGCGGTAGCAGAGAGAACAGTCTATGACTAGGGTGGCTGGAGTCTTTGGCAATTTTCAGGGCCTTTCTCTGACACCGCCTGGTATAGAGATCCTGGATGGCAGGAAGCTTGGGCCCAGTGATTTACTGGGCCGTACGCTCTACCCTCTGTAGTGCCTTGCGGTCGGAGGCCGAGCAGTTGCCATACCAGGCGGTGATGCAACCAGTCAGGATGCTCTCGATGGTGCAGCTGTATAACCTTTTGAGGATCTGAGGACCCATGCCAAATCTTTTCAGTCTCCTGAGGGGGACTAGGCGTTGGTGATGTGGACACCAAGGAACTTGAAAGTCTGTACCTGCTCCACTACAACCTCGATGAGAATGGGGGCGTGCTTGGCCCTCCTTTTCCTGTAGTCCACGATCATTTCCTTTGTCTTGATCACGTTGAGGGAGAGGTTGTTATCCTGGCACCACACTGCCAGGTCTCTGACCACCTCCCTATAGGCTGCCTCATCGGTGATCAGGCCTACCACTGTTGTGTCGTTGGCAAACTTAATGATGGTGTTGGAGTCGTGCTTGGCCATGTAGTCATGGGGTGAACAGGGAGTACAGGAGGGGACTAAGCACGCACCCCTGAGGGGCCCCAGTGTTGGATCAGCGTGGCAGATGTGTTGTTACCTACCCTTACCTGCACCAAAACTCCAGTATTTTTCCTTCCTAGCTTGTTCTCATCTTTTTAAATAGGGAGCCAATTTGTTTTCAGCACTTTTATTTCCATGACTGATCAAAACACATTTTCTCATGGCTCTCTCTTGTCCCTCTGCATCAGGCATATGGTGAGCATTATGTTTGGAACATCAAATCACAATAAAATCACGTTATCGAATCGCAATACAGTGCCTTCAGAAAGTATTCATACCCCTTGACTTATTCCACATTTTGTTGTGTTATAGCTTGAATTCAAAATGTTTTTTTCTCACCCATCTACACACAATACCTTATAAAGACAATGTCAAAGCATGTTTTTAGAAATGTTTGAAATATCTAATTTATATAAGTATTCACACCCCTTTGCTCAGGTGCATCCAATTTCCGTTGCCCATCCTTGAGATATCACTACACTTTATTAGAGTCCACCTGTGGCCAATTCAATTGTTTGGACATGATTTAGAAAGAAGCACACCGGTCTATATAAGGTCCCACAGTTGACAGTGCATGTAAAGTTTAAACTCTTTTGTCTCAATTGGCTGATGTGCCCTTCTTAAACTAGTAATACGAGTTTTTAGTGTTTCGTACAGCAGCATTCACACACACACAGAGACACACATGCACAGGTCTGTAACAGCAGCTTGTCAGCTGTGCATTCTTATGATTTTTGCAGAGCAAGCTGGAAACCATGTTTAGTCACGTGTTTTCCTCGAAGAGAAGTATGATATCAAACATTGGTCAGATAAGCAAGTTGTAACCTTGAGTGTTTTTCTCACTGATAAGCAGTTTGTAGTGAAGAAGAATGTCTAAATCAGTTCAATTAAACACCAGGGATGTCCCAAATGGCACTCTATTCCCTATATAGTGCACTACTTTTGACCAGCACCCTGTGGGCCCAGGTTAAAAGTAGTGCATATATTAAGGGAATAGGGTGCCATTTGGAAGGAAGGGCAGTACTGATATTGGGATATCAAAATGTGATTCAGCAGCCTCATCTCTATCCATGATGCCATCTCCTAGTCCCTGTTATGCAGTGTAAACGTAACGAGTTACAGTTCATATGGAAATCAGTCAGTCATGGTGTGACCACCATGTGTCGTGCTGCATGAGGCAAATCTCCTTCGCATAGAGTTGATTAGGTTGTTGATTGTAGCCTGTGTAATGTTGTCCCACTCCTCTTCAATGGCTGTGCGAAGTTGCTGGATATTGGTGGGAACTGGAACACACTGCGTACACATCGATCCAGAGCATCCCAAACATGCTCAATGGTTGACATGACTGGTGAGTATCAGGCCATGGAAGAACTGGGACATTTTCGGCTTCCGGGAATTGTGTACAGATCGACATGGGGCCGTGCATTATCATGCTGAAACATGAGGCGATGGTGGCAGATGAATGGCACGACAATGGGCCTCAGGATCTCCTCATGGTCACTCTGTGCATTCAAATTGCCATAGATGAAATGCAATTGTGTTCGTTGTCCTTAGCTTATGTCTCGCCCACACAATGCCATACACGTTGTCTGCCATCTGCCCGGTACAGTTGAAACCAGGATTAATCCGTGAAGAGCACACTTCTGTAGCGTGCCATTGGCCATCAAAGGTGAGCATTTGCCCACTGAAGTCGATTACGACGCCAAACTGCAGTCAGGTCACGACCCTGGTGAGGATGATGAGCACGAAAGACGAGCTTCCCTGAGACGGTTTCTGACAGTTTGTGCAGAAATTATTCGGTTGTGCAAACCCACAGTTTCATCAGCTGTCCGGGGTTCTGGTCTCAGACGATCTCACAGGTGAAGAAGCTGGTTGTGGAGGTCCTGGGCTGGCGTGGTTACACGTGGTCTGCGATTGTGAGGCCGGTTGGACGTACTGCCAAATTCTCTAAAACGGCTTACTTGGCGATGAGCCAAATTTTGTTAAAACACTCCAGGACTGGACTTGTCCAGAGCAGATTGTGGATAAATACATTTTTGTATCTGTAAAATACTAAAAACTTTGGTGCATTTTTCCAAATCAAATGTTATGTAGAATGCAAAATGTACAACATATCAACAATTCCCTCTGGGAAAGTCTGGATAATATATCTAAGGAGAACCACACACCATTTGGTGAATGCAGATGCTTCTGAAGCTGAGAAAAATGAGTTGGTGTTTGGGAAGAGTCTGACCAAAAGCCTATTTAGACCCAATCACCATGTCTTCAAGTAGGTTACTAAATGTAGTCCACTTTTTAACATTCTCTATGAAATGGGCTTTGAAATTATGTGTAATTCAATGTAGTGAGCTTTGAAATGATTGATGTGTGTCCATTTTAAGGTGGTTAAAATTCATTAAAATGGTGATGACGGTAGTATGATTAACTAAAGAAAAGATACCTTTTATGATCTTTTTACATTATTAGGTTTACTTTTTGAAAATACTCATATTAATGGACCAAAATACCAACAAATCTCAAAATGGATAGGTAGGTGCAAAAATGTAATTTCAGCCTGTGGTGCCTGACCTTAAATGGTTTCAGCCTGGCTCTGTAGGACAGGGAACCAATATCACTATATTATAAATTTTATAAATCCCTTTTGGGAGATTAAAATCCTCAGCAATACTTTGAAGACATTTGCAGGAGATGAGTGTGCAAAAGTCCTGAAATGTTTCCGATCTTCTTTTTCTTCAGCCAATACAACAAAGGGCACTAAGGAACACAATAGTAGGAAGTCTCTGCGGAGTCATGTGTAGGTCTGGAGGTCCTGGGTTTCTGTCGAGGAAAAGGCACCTCTACTGTTCCTGGTTATTTATGGTACACTGAGCTGTGTCTATGTACTACAGCGACTCAAGTTGATCCTGTTGACTGTGGTGAGGTCAAAGAGAACTGTAGCTGCGTCACACGATGCTTCTCCCCCCTCGCTATGCCTCTGGGGTCACAGCTGAGGAGGTCTGGAAGTGTGTAGGGGTCATGGGCTACAGGGGAGAGGCAAGGACAGTAGCTCAGACACACACACACACACACATTCGGTCTGGCCGCTGGTCACAAACGCACTCCACTGGTTCTCTACCACTGCACATTCCTAAGGCTTCTGATGTTGATGTTGTAAAACAATGGTCTGTTGACTTGTCTTCTGTTTTTCTGTTGTACTGTATGCACTGGATGTGGGTCTAATGTAATGTGATGGCTTGTGCTGACTCTCCGTAACATGTAGATCCTTACTATGTGGTGAGGGAGGTCTTCATCTCTGTTCTTACGGATTATGTCTTCTCTGTTTTAGGATGGCTCGTTGGGAACCTTTGAGGACTTGGCTCAGGAGTACTCAGAGTATTACAGCACTTCTCTCACTGAAGTCCAAGACAGAATGGAGGAGATCTGCAAACGCAAAGTTGTACAAGATGCAGAACCAGAGATGGTACGAACATATATTATATGTTCAGTGTGATAAAGAATTTGCATAAAATGTTTTTTTCCATCTGTGGATACCCTCTTTGCACAGACTTCATTCTAATTAAAATGATGTGGAGGAAGCCTTTGGAAATGTGGTTTACATTTAAATCCTCTAATGTGTGAGAGTTTAGGGTGACAAATGTTACAATTTTGGCCTTTTAATTTATCAAGATATTTATGTTTTGAATTGCTGATTAAATCAGATGTTGTCACTCCTTTAATTTGCCTCTGTGTGTTTCAGGAAAAGGTTGACAAAGTGCCCACATCACTGCAACTTCGCTCACAGATCCAGGTGAGTCTCCTATTCTCTCTCTTGTTTTTGACCCTATTGTATGTTAACCCTCTGGGAGGAGGGATTTCCTAAGCCCTAATCCCGCAGACATCACAGAGCTGCTATGAACCAGATCACAGCCCTGTAGCATTATAACATCTTGGTTTTCCTTGATCACAAATTCACATTTCACTGTCTAATGGAAACTCTGGCCTTGTTATTTGTAATATATACTGTTATAATGTGTCTGGAAATAACTTTTTTTTATTTTTTTTATGCAACCGAGACCAATGACATACACATTAAGAGTTCCAAACCAATCTGCCTGCCAGTGTGCTAGATTGTGGTTCCTCTTAGTTTGTCAGTTTCCATTGCCTGCCTGCATGTCTGTCTGACTGCAGTATTCTGTTCTCTACAGGAATCGCTTGGGCTGAGTAGCAGTAGCGCTATGTCCACTCCTGAGACAGAGCGAAGGTAAGACCATAGAGATACTGAAGCTGTTACTATTCTATAGTCAACCATGGTATTGTCTCCCCTTTGTGTGGAGTGTATTGTGGGTATTATTGTGATGTCCTTATGCTGTATGTAGTTAAATTGGTGTTGTCGATCAGTGAAGTAGGACAGTCATAGCACTCTCATGCATTGTCTTCATGTCCTAGTAAAATTAGTTATGTCTTTCTATAAATTGTTGAACTCCTGGGAGGTATTTGGGCGACTCTACAGAAGTGATGTAAATTGCTGTCCCACCCCAAAGAAACTAAAATTGTTAAGTCTCCAAACTTCCATCATGATATGTTCTAATTCATTCCAAGGCAATAACAAACATAATGTTAAATGAATATAGTACAAAGTCCTCGTTTATACACCTATTTCTATTGAGGTGGCTGTCCCACACCCTGATTCCTAAACATCGTGTTTGAAAATAAAACAAATCATGATTTTAGATCTTATTTCAAAAGAACATCTTGAATTGTTATATTATTACTAGTAGAAAGAGGAGGAAGGGAAGCGCTACTAAGGTACACAATAGTAAATGTTGGTAGACAGAAGGTGCTCTTTGGTCAAAGGGGTGAATTGGTCATCAAAAAGAAAGGAGGACCAAGGCACTCTTCATATAATTCATTAAAATGCCTTTATTAGTATGGCATGTTCAATAGAAATACGTTTTATTTTTTTAATCCGACGCGTTTCGGCTGCATGTCCTTCGTCAGAGACTCCCTGACGAAGGCCATGCAGCCGAAACGCATCGGATAAAAAAAAAAAAACTTATTTCTATTGAACATGCCATACTAATAAAGGCATTTTAATGAATTATATGAAGAGTGCCTTGGTCCTCCTTTCTTTTTGATGTTATATTATTACATTGAAAGATACTGATCTATTAAGTAGTTTTGTATATTTTTTATCATGTGTAAAAAAAAAAAAAAAAATGCTGGCCCACCTTTTGACATCACTACCGAAACACACACATTAAGACTGTAGAATCAATGTGACTTAAGCCACACCCATACAAATATCACCAGGTGATGGGATTGCACCCCTCTACAGCATGGCCACATAGTGAGTAGTATATCTGCAAACATTTTGGAGAAAATGAGTGAGCAAATCTTAATGTATTTTTAAGAAGTGTCACCACCGAATATCTAATATTTCAAGAAATATGTAAAGTACGGTTTTGGGACTAAGATATATGTTTTCTGGGATGTACATCTGATACAAATTATAGCTAGCCAGGCATATGCTCACTATGGGGATTCATTAAATGGATGCTTCAGGATTTTGGCAATGAAGCCCTTTTATTTAAGAAACATTGTGTTGGAAATTCCAAATTGTTTGCATAGTCAACTTACACACAGCACTGACACACACACTTACCCCACCACACATGCCACCAGGGGTATTTTCACAGTCCCCAGGTCCAGAACAAATTCAAGGAAACGTACAGTATTATACAGAGCCATGAGTGCATGGAACTCCCTTACATCTTATATAGCGCAAGTGAACAGCAAACCTGGTTTCAAAAAACTAATAAAGCAACACCTCACAGCACAACACCTCTCCCCCATGTGACCTACTTGTTGTGTGTATGTACTGACATGTATGTGTAACTGATAGATGCACACACACTACATCTTAATGTTTTTCAAATGTATGCAAATCGAAAAGTATTTTGTCTGTAATGTATTTTCCGTTATATGTCGGACCCCAGTAAGACTAGCTATCACTAATGGGGATCCTAATAAATAAAAGTTCAATCTACTTCCCCCGAGTCAGATGAACTCGTGGATACCATTTTTGATGTCTCTGCATGCAGTTTGAAGGAAGTTGCTTGTTTTTAATATTCGGTACATGGGGATTTAACCGCAAAAGGTGTTTTTATGTGCATTATGTCATCACACACATCCTTTTATCCGCAACAAGTCAATTTGATGGAAACACAGCTATGGTGAAAAAATGCGCATATTGTTTTTATGCAGATTTTAGAATATTTGCTTTGAAATCTGTCGCCAATTGGATGGAAACCTAGCTTATGACTGACTCTTGTTAGTCCAGTGTATTTCTTTACATTTGTTTCTTCACATCTGAAATGATCATCTACATTTAAACACATAGATAATTATTTATATTTTTGATTATTTTTAGAGTTATTGAAGGACAGGGACATCCATAAGGTGCCAACATGCCGAAATGTACAGCAGACAGTCAGAGAGGACAGAGAGTATAAAAACGGACCCTGTGCAATATCAAGAATATCTGAAAGATAAAGAAAGGAAGCAGGAAAGTAAGTCAAATTAGTAAAATATTTATCTGAGCAAGAGGGCTGGAGTGAAAAGGCAGAAAGACACGTATTTGATTGATTGTGATAATTATGTGAATCACATGTGCCCCATTCGATATGGTATCAATTAAGTAAGCAATTAAGTTCAGAATGTATAAGCCAGGTCACAACCGAAACACTGTCACCACCGAAACGCCTGTTATTTTGCCACAATAAAGATGGGAAAGGTGACCCATGAAAAAAATCTAACATAATTAGATGCAATTCAGTAATTCAATCAATATGTTTCAGATTCATAAAATCAACATTGAACATTTTACAGAGAAAAATAGAGACTATTTTTCTCTAAATTACATTTTAAGGTTTTGAAAATCAGTTTAAAAGTAATTTTCACTATTTGGTAAATGCTGTAGGCAAATAACATTTCTAAAATTAATCTGTAATAGAATGTTAATCAAAATGATCACTACTGTGCATGGCTCTCCCTTTATTGCAGCTTTTTCACTATGTTTCGGTAGTGACAAATTTAGTGGGGTGGTAAGGAATTCATTTACATTTACATTTTAGTCATTTAGCAGACGCTCTTATCCAGAGCGACTTACAGGAGCAATTAGGGTTAAGTGCCTTGCTTAAGGGCACATCGACAGATTTTTCACCTAGTCGGCTCGGGGATTAGAACCAGCGACCTTTCGGTTACTGGCACAACGCTCTTACCCACTAAGCTACCTGCTGCCCCAATTCAGGACAGGATTTCAAATATGCAATACAAACAAAGTTTGTGAGTAGTAGATATGTCTATCTGACATATACTATATGTTGTAATAAATAGGATACCATTTTTTTAAAACAATTCAGCCCCCAATTTCCACCACTTCTGTAGAATGACCCTCATAGGACAGAACAGTCAGTAGGACAGTCATTCCCTTTCATACATTATCCCCATAGGGTGAGTCTCAAATGGCACCCTATTCCCTATTTAGTGCACTTCTTTTGACCAAGGGCCATAGGGCTCTCTCTGGTCAATAGGGTGTCATTTGGGATGCAAACCTAGTCAGCGTGAGGAAATGTGTTTCATACTTCCTGTCCTGATGACCTCCAGCCACCTTTATGAAGTGCTAGTATACCAACAGGAAACTTCCTCTCCTTCCCCCTATTGTGTGTTTGGAAGGATGGATGGTCATATTGTGAACGCAGGAGAAGTAGTGAGAGAAATAAGGGAGGAAAGGAGGAATCTGGGTCATGAGTAATAATATAGTACTATACACTGAGTCAGTGGGGTGTCGGCGACACCAGATTGAAGTTTGTTACTTGGCTAGTTACACCTTAGCTTTAGCATTGTCCAGTGCAATACAATGAGAGAAGTAGTAACTCCTGTTAGCATGCTCTAAAATGTAAGGCCAAATCACCTCAAAGTAACATGACTTTATACAGTATGCTGGTTTGGAGTAACCACCTCTGAGAGTTGGTTCCCTTCATAAACTACCAGAACACAAGAGCCTTGATTTCTACTAATCTTGCTGAGGGAAAGGTTGTACAGTACTGGGCTTGCTGTGACTTTAGGCAAGGCGCCCTCTTGTGGCCACCTGTAGAACTGTGTTGGTGGGGGAATAATAGTCGCTAGCATCAGCAACAACTATCAGCTGATGTCAGAGGAGAGAGCGATTGGGAGAGAGAGAGGGTGCGAGAGAGAGTGAGGAGACAGACAGACAGACAGACAAAGAGAGCAAGTGTGAGAGAGTTGGAGAGGGAGACAGAACAGCGATAGAGAGAGAGAAAGAAAAATATATAAGAGAGAGCGAGAGGGGAATGCTGAGGACACGTGAAGAGCTGTAGTGTTGAAGTGAGTGCAGTCAGTAAAACTCAAGCAGTCAGGGTGTGAAAAGCCTCTATTGTTGTTGAGATAGCCACAGTGATCTGACCTCTGTCCAGCAGACTGACAGCGTGATGTTTTCCCATCTGGACTGACTACTGGGAACGGCCTCCACTAACACTGCACTGTACTGGCCGGGTCCAGTGGCGCGAGGGACAGTGCACGTTTGTGAGGGATACGGTAGTGCATATTTGTTAGGGACAGTGCACGCGTCTATAATTCTTGAACAGGGACAGAGAACTCAGTGGATAAAGGGGTGTTTTGTCGAAGATGGTACAGTAGGATACAAGCAGTACAATGAAGAAAATTGCATTGGAAAACAGGTGAGATGATGATGTCTGTGACCGGACTCTGCATCTTCTGTTTCTTGGATTGTGTTTTTTTGTTTGTGCCATCTGTCTTGTTTTTGATTCAATCTTGGTTTATTTTTAGGTTGTCCGTGCATAAATCAAGTTCTGAGGATGGATCAGTGGGTAAGTTTTATTTAGTTCTCATCAGTTCTGTAGTTTGATGGGTCTTGGTCCCATATCATGTAATTACTTGACATTTAAATTGTGTGTAACTACAAACACAACTGTTATTGTGACTGACTACAAATTTACTACAATAGTACTTAATTTGAAGATTGAACTTGGACAGTTTTGCTTTTATCACAATTGAGACACAATTTAATGTGTGTTACATTTTGGGAATAACTACATATGCGTAACTTAAAAAACATCTACATATTTTGAAAGTTTGCTAGGGGTAGCCATTGTATGGGGCAGTGTGGATTTCATCTGTTTGTTTATTAAACCTTACTGTATCTCCTTGTTTAGGAAATTGGGATGGAAAGAGACAGAAAAACAAGTCTTTCTGGCAGAATTTCAGGAAGTCGCAGAAAGGTGTCGTCCGGCAGACCACAAAAGGTATGTTTTTGTTTTGGATATATCCTCCCGCTTTACCCAACATATTTCTGATCACACAAGTCAGGGAGCTGTGTCCCATTTTCACTGCATCTGTTTTTTTGGATCGCATTTTGTATTTTTCATGTGTTTATTGAAAGGGACTGCACTGAAATTAAGGAAAGACTGGTAGAGGGGATAGTGTATAGGAGAGAGTTGGGACTGGGATTCGATCCCACACGGTATGTGCTGGGGGCGGCGGCTTTCTATCAAATCTGTCCAACTGTACTTTATTTATTAGACATTTTTGCAGGATGAAATCTCTTGAGATATCAGTATTGGTAAACATGAATATAAACTAAACTTATTTGCAGATGATCTCCTGATATGCCTGACCAATATTGAAAACTCAATGACCCCTTTGTAAAAAATATTTTCAGAATACTAAAACATCTCAGGATATAAAATGTAGGTAGGAAAAAAACAAAACAATGGCAATAGGAAAAATAAATAAATAACTCACGATCTACAGGAATCGTTTAAGTGGACCACAAAAAAATATGAAATACTTGGGATGCATAATAAGCTGGTTGAGAGTATGCCAAGAGTGTGCAAAGCTGTCATCAAAGCAAAGGGTGGCTAGTTGAAGAATCTCTAATGTAAAATATATTTTGATTTGTTTAACACTTTTTTGGTTACTACATGATTCCATATGTTATTTCATAGTTTTGATGTCTTCACTATTATTCTACAATGTAAAAAATAAAGAAAACCCCTTGAATGAGTAGGCGTGTCCAAACTTTTGACTGGTAGTGTACATATTTACAAATATCTACACATGGTGATGTTACTATTAGTTAAAAACACAAACAGTTTGTTTGTCCTAACATTTGAAAAAGGGGTTTCTTAAATTCACAGTGTTCTGTTTACCAGGTGAGGACATAGGCTTTGTAGCAAGTGACATCACTATGAGTGATGAAGAGCGCATCCAGCTGATGATGATGGTCAAGGAGAAGATGATCAGCGTGGAGGAGGCCCTGGCAAGGGTATGATGATGTCACTTCCTGTCTTCCTACTGTATGATGTATTTCCCTCCAGATACTGTACTGGATCTCTTTTCTCAGGATGTACTGTAGGAGTCATCTGCAGTTACTGGATATTGAGCATCTCAGTAGGATTTATAATGAGGGAATACAAGTCTGATTTGATATCATATTTAGTGTGCTTCTTTAGTTCTAATAGTGCCATATTGGATACTTATCGAGTCTACTTCTCCTCCTCTCTTCTCTCCCCTCTCCTCCTCACAGCTGAAAGAGTTTGAGACCCAGAGCAGACAGACCTGCAGCACTGATCTTACAGAATGGCCTGATGCTCCCAGTCCAACCCTGAACGAGTCCTCCAACTGCAATGTAAGTGTCGCTGATAACTCATGGATATAAGTGTTGTCACTCTGTATGTGTTTGGTGTATACAGTATGAGTTCATCGTTCTGCCATCTAACAAGGCTAGTGAGGTGTTATGGTCCCATGTCACGCCTCCGAGCAACTCTCGCTCACATCATCCGTCTCTCTCACCCAACTCTCTACCTTTCCTCTAACTCAAGCCCGTCTCTCAGCCGACCCCAAACTACTCTCTCCTCAACGCTCCTCGCTACGCTCTCTCTCTCTCTCTCCCTCTCTCCGCCTAATCTCTCCCCCCCCCCCCTCTCTCTCTCTCTCTCTCTCTCACTCTCTCTCTCTCCTCTCCCCCTCTCTCTCTCCCCCTCTCTCTCTCTCTCTCTCTCTCTATGAACCGGGGGCCCCCTGTAACCTGCCCACTCCAGGCCCTCTCCCAACAGGCAGGCCATCCAGGCAGTCCTCTATTCATCCCAGTCAAAGCGCCTGCTAACCCCTATTGTGCTGCTGTGAGTGGGTGGATTCAGCACTGTGCTGTGTTATGCAGGCCGCAGCTCTTTTCTGCATGGTTGGGGTGATTAGGGGGCTCAGGTCCAGCCCAAATATTTCAGATTCATCTGGATGGCCTCACTCTGTTTCTCGCTCTGTCATCTCTCCACACTGGCGTTTTCTCTATCCTCCCACTGTCACTTTTTTTCAACCTAATTCTCTGTTTGTAGTGTATCCCCATCAAAACCAAAGTGTTTGCGCTTTTGAGCTTTGAATCGATATTTGAAATTGATGCAAATTTTCCTGGAGACGTCACTTGTTTTCCTGCTAGTTCTTGGCTCCATGTTGTAGCCACAGCTTCTAACTTCAACTTTATCTGCCAAATATTAGAAAATACTTTGAACTGAACAACTGTTCTTTGTGTCTTTCTTTGAGCTTGCTCAAGAACAATTTACAACTATAGTGCTGTAAATAATAGATTGCTTTCTCAAACATTTTGAATATGATCTATTTTTTGCCAAGATGAAGCCTGCTCTAGACATTGCTGTACCTCAGGCAGAATAGGCATGATATTTAATGGTTCAAGATGCTATGCATACTATGATGTAGCCTGTATAAAAGCCCCTGAATTTGGTGGACATTTTAAGTGCTCACATCTCACCAAGATGAGATGATCTGCGACAAGAGACTACAAAGATGAGCCCATGTGGTTAGATGTCTGCTAGGCTATATTTAAGAAATGATAACCATGGTTTCTTTTTCTCCTCTGGTCCACAGCTGTAGCTTTCACATATGGTTTATTTCTCACTAACTCTATGGTTAGCTGTAGCACATACAGTATGTCATCATAAGCATATAAAAAGAGGTGGGAAAGCTTCTGAGTTTCTAGCTGTGGTGTGCATAAACTATTGATCCGCTGTGAATAAACTGACGTTTTTTTTCTGACCACTGTCCCAGGCCCTAAATATGAGATGGTATTTTTTGGTCTGACACTTCTAACTGCTCAGTCCTCTGACATTCATTCAAGTAGATGGGGAATTCCAGCTTGCAAACCTTTCGTTTTCTAGCACAAACCGCTGAGTCAAACAGGCTGACCACAGTGCCTATACATAGACTGCAGGTATACACTGCAGTTTAATACTTCAATATTTATATTGAGGTCATATGCTGCATGCAGTCTCTACCTCAACAATAATAGAGCCATGTTCCAATTGCATTTCTCGGAAAGGGTGGAGAATTGTACTAATACAAACTTTACTTATAAACAGGTCAAATAAACATTGAAATAGGTTCCAAATAGCTTCAGAGCTACTGACGGACTCTTTTTATCATCCTTACCCACTTTTAACTGGGTCTCATCTCCTTCCCCAATACTGGCCTTCTAACCCGGTTTGTCTGTCATCTTCAGTCATGTGAGCTGTCGGATGGTGAACAGGAGGAGTCCGGGACGTTCAGACGGCTCCATAAGCTGGTCAGCTCCAGTCGCAGGGTCCGCAAGAAGCTCATCAGGATTGACGAGTCCAAGAAGCCTGGGTCTGAGGGTGAGACGGGTCACTGCACGAGTCTTACGACAAGCCCGAACACTCTTAGAATAAAGGGTTCCAAAAGGGTTCTGCGGCTGTCCCCATAGGAGAGAACCCTTTTGGGTTCCATGAGGTACCCTATGTGGAAAGGGTTCTACCTGGAACTATAAGGGTTCTACCTGGAACCAAGAGGGGTTCTTCAAAGGGTTCTCCTATGGGGAGAACCCTTTTTGGTTCTAGATAGCACCTTTTTTTCAACGAGTGTAGGGTGAAGATTAGGGCAAGACCATAGTGCACCAGATATGATTAGGACAAGTTCCATTAGGGTGCAGATGTGAACCTTTAAATAGTCTGTAGTCTATACCCAACAAACTATTTTGTTGTTGTTATCTAGAGCTTGTTTAAAAAAAGACTACTACTACTAATCCAAGTTGAGTTGTTGTCATCCATTGCATATCACATTGTTTTGACATTCCCTGACTCTGCCACAAACATGTCCTTACTCCTGTCACCTCCCCTGTCTCTCCCAGAGTCTCTGAGTATGGTCGGGCCTGTCCTGGGTGATGCCATGTCCTCTCTGCCCCTGTACTCTGGGGTTCAGAAGAAGCAGTCTGGGGGGTGCCACCACGTTGACTCCCTGGCCTCCGCCCTGCGCGACCAGCTGACTTATGACCTTCGAGACTCGGACAGCCTGACCACCTCCCCCTCCTCCTCCTCCTTGGACACCTGCAGCAGCAACACACACACCCACAGCCTGGATACAGTCTCCAGCGCCACCCAGCGACTGTTCACAGCCTTCAGTAAGACAGGTGAAGCAAGTCACACAATTTTCTTCAGGAAAATTACCCTTTCTATTAAGATGTGTTGCTATGACAACATTTTAACAAAGCTTCAATTGCTACTTATATCCCAGTGATTTTTTTATGTGATCTATTTTTGGTTCCAAGCACCCTTCATTTGTTTAAGCAAGAGGATAAGAGTTGAGCACGTTCTCTCCTTTTACCTGATGATGTAGAAGGATCCAGCCCAGCCTGTAGCCCAGGGAGACACCCGGACACAGGCCCCAGCGGGGACGTGAGGGCAGTGGGGGTCGGGGTAGTGGTTCCTCCCTGTCAGAGATAGAGGTTGGTGGTGGAGAGGATGGACCCAGGATGCCCCGGTCAGTCACGGATGGAGAGATCAGGAGAGTACTCAGCCCACTCAGCTACCATGGGGTGAGTAACGTTTGGCTGCATCCCAAATGGCAACCTATTCCCTATATAGTGCACTACCCATATGGCTCTGGTCAAAAGTAGTGACCTATATAGGGAATAGGGTACCGTTTGGGACTTAGTGAATGGACTGTGTATTCTCTATATCTTTAGTCAGGGACAGTTCAGCCTGGGTGACAGTTTCTGCTCCCTTGCCAACTCCTTATGGAATTGTAATGTTTGGCTTGACAATGACAGCCATTGAGTTGGCATGAGCACAAACAGATCTGGGACCATGCTAGGACCGGTTGGATGTTCACTCAGTCCAAAGCTATTGTCACAATGAACCACACTGTCTTATGTGCTTGATTAATGAACCTGTCAATATCTCCATTTGGAAGTGATATTTTTAAGGTGATTTATTCCTTTGTTTCACAGAGAACCTGTAGCTTTGGCGGGTTTGATCTGACCAACCGGTCTCTGCACATGGTCAACAGAGATCAGGAACTCACTGTAAGTAGTTTAACAATCATTTGAATCATTGAGTTGGGATTTTTTTGTTTTCCAATGCCTTTGTTTCCGGACCTCCCATACTTCATACTAACTTTAGAACAAAGATGGGGATGCCAGTGTGAAAGGCGTAGTCAAGTCTCCACAGACGAACCATCGAATCTCTTTGGGCAAGAAAGTGAAGTCTGTGAAAGAGACCATGAGAAAACGCATCTCCAAGAGATACCACTGCTCTCTCGCTGAACAGGTATGTCAGACTCGATGCAAATCGTATGCAAAATGATCCAGTGGTCAAACCGTACTTACACACTAACTCGTGTACCTGGTGGCAATTTGTTGGACTTGGTTCATGACGATCGAGAGATTTAAGCTGGAGTAAACATGTAGTAACCATGTAATAAACCTGTAGTAACCATGTCTTCTTGCCTTCCAGTCCAGCCCAGACCGTATGTCCAGCGGGCCCCAGTCCCCCCACAGCCACACAGACACAGACTCATTGGAGAAACCCAAGCTGAAAGCTGGAGGGTCAGTAGAGAGCCTGAGGAGCTCCCTCAGTGGACAGAGCTCCATGAGTAAGTACCACGTGTGTTTGGGGGTAGGTGTGGGGTCTGTCTGGGTCCACATTTATTTGTCTTATATGTGGCCTATATTCAGCCTTAGTTCCAAAGTGAAACAGCAGGCAGAACAGACAACTATTGCATGTTTATTTACCATAGATCTTGATGTGGTTTAGTTCCTTTGAATGACCATCTCATCTCGTTGTCTGCAGGTGGTCAGACAGTGGGCACCACAGACTCCTCCAACAGCAACAGAGAGAGTGTGAAGTCTGAGGATGGAGAGGAGGATGAGCTTCCCTACAGAGGACCCTTCTGTGGTCGAGCCACGGTGCACACCGACTTCACCCCCAGCCCCTACGACACTGACTCTCTCAAACTGAAGGTAACGAACGCACACACACACATTATCCAAACGGACCAATCACAGTGTTTGTTCTTGTTTTGCAGAGAGGTGATGTCATTGACATCATCAGCAAGCCTCCAATGGGGACATGGATGGGCCTGTTGAACAGTAAGGTGGGAACCTTTAAGTTCATCTACGTGGACGTTCTGGCTGAGGAGGAAGACAAACCTAAACGCAACCGACGGAGGAGGAAGGGACGGCAGCCCAAACCCACCTCTGTAGAGGAACTCCTGGAACGCATCAACCTCAAAGTACAGTATAAACACAGACAAACTCACACACTCAACCTCATAGTAACAACCCTACAGTAATTGTAGACACTCACACACTTGAATACTGTTAATATCCTCCTCCTTTTGTGATATATATAAGTTGGCTACGTGACCAAAGCTTTCCCCTATCCTTTGCCCCAGGAGCACCTGCCCACTTTCCTCTTCAACGGCTATGAGGACCTGGATACCTTTAAGCTTCTGGAAGAGGAGGATCTAGACGAGCTGGACATCGGAGACCCTCAACACAGAGCTGTGCTGCTCACCGCTGTCGAGCTACTGCAGGAGTACGACGGTTAGTACACACACTGATAGACACACACACAGAAACACACACGTACATAGACACCAGAGGATGCTGGTTCATAAACACACACGCACATAGACACCAGAGGATGCTGGTGGGAGGAGCTATAGGAGGACGGGCTCGTTGTAATGGCTGGAATGGAATTGATTGAACTTTTTCAAATATGGAAACCACGTTTGACTCCGTTCCACTGACGTCCCTCTGCTGGTGTTGTTGTGCCCTACAGGTAGCAGCGACCCGGACCGTAGCGGCCAGTCAGGGGGTTCTCAGGAGAAGCTGTTACTGGACCGTCAGGGCCCACTGGGGGACTCCCCACGAGACTCTGGCTGCTACGAGAGCAACGAGAATCTGGAGAACGGTAACGACAGCCTGACTCGACACTGACTCTCCTCTTCTTCATCCTCTTCTTGCTGCCATGGGTCTTCTCCAACCTCCTCAATTCTCTATCTAAAGGCTATGGGCTCCTAATTTTGGATCAGTTTTGCCTTTTAGATCTTATGAATATGATTATATAGACAGCAGGGGGACCTGATCCTAGATCAGCACTCTTACTCAGAGCTTTTTGAATACAGGCACTAATCTTCTCTTTTTTGTTGTTTTTGTTGTTGTTGCAAGAATTCATTTTCCCTTCATTCAAAACGGGGGAGAACTGAACTGATGAGATGGTATCTATCTCTGCCTGTGTAGAGAAGACTGGGAGAGGACAGCTAACTCTTTTACACTCACTCAGTAACTAAATTATTTTCAGAGACCTGTACTACTGTATGTGTTCTGTAGGGCTGTTTCTAGACCGATACAGGAATAGTTCTGTCTTAGTGTACTGCGTGATGGTGGTTTTGCATTTGCTGAAAATGGTGACTGTTGAACCAAAGGTGTGACGATAAGCTGTAGTAAAAAATAAAATACTTGTCCGTACTACTTACATATTTACTGTGAAAGCTTGCTTTATTTGATAACACTACCATTCTTAGTGTGGTTGGTTTGCTTTGGTTTTAGTCTTTAAAATAACGTATAACCTAATAAATGGTGCTGATATGGAAGGCTGTTGTGAATGTCAACAGCCTCAGTGGAGAGTTTGATGTCAGAGTATTTTCCACACTTGTATATTTCTCTCAAGGTTTTTGTGTGTATATTTTTCTAGTTCATATGTTGCACAATATTTTATGATGTGCCTAAATACAGACCTGCATTATGCAAATAATTTCAGATTAAGATTTACTAAGTGGTTCAATTATACTTGTTAAAATGGGGGTGCAACATTTTTTGTACAACAATAATTGTGGGTGCATCAAAATGCATAGTTGTGACTGAAACAAATTATTAAAATGTCTAAAATATAAGCTGTGTATTAGAGTTGAGGAAACCTTAAAATCTGTGTTAAATACAGCTCATTGCAATCTTCCCATAGCACTTCTGATGCTAGGAGTAATACTGGCCTAGATATATTAGGCTAAGTCCAAATGGCACCCTTTTCCTTTTGACCAAGGCCCATAGTGCACTACATACAGTGAGGGGAAAAAAGTTATTTGATCCCCTGCTGATTTTGTACATTTGCCCACTGACAAAGGACATGATCAGTCTATAATTTTAATGGTAGGTTTATTTGAACAGTGATAGACAGAATAACAACAAAGAAATCCAGAAAAAGGCATGTCAAAAATGTTATAAATTGATTTGCATTTTAATGAGGGAAATAAGTATTTGACCCCTCTGCAAAACATGACTTAGTACTTGGTGGCAAAACCCTTGTTGGCAATCACAGAGGTCAGACGTTTCTTGTAGTTGGCCACCAGGTTTGCACACAGCTCAGGAGGGATTTTGTCCCACTCCTCTTTGCAGATCTTCTCCAAGTCATTAAGGTTTCGAGGCTGACTTTTGGCAACTCGAACCTTCAGCTCCCTCCACAGATTTTCTATGGGATTAAGGTCTGGAGACTGGCTAGGCCACTCCAGGACCTTAATGTGCTTCTTCTTGAGCCACTCCTTTGTTGCCTTGGCCGTGTGTTTTGGGTCATTGTCATGCTGGAATACCCATCCACAACCCATTTTCAATGCCCTGGCTGAGGGAAGGAGGTTCTCACCCAAGATTTGATGGTACATGGCCCGTCCATCGTCCCTTTGATGCGGTGAAGTTGTCCTGTCCCCTTAGCAGAAAACCACCCCCAAAGCATAATGTTTCCACCTGACGGTGGGGATGGTATTCTTGGGGTCATAGGCAGCATTCCTCCTCCTCTAAACACGGCGAGTTGAGTTGATGCCAAAAAGCTTGATTTTGGTCTCATCTGACCACAACACTTTCACCCAGTTCTCCTCTGAATCATTCAGATGTTCATTGGCAAACTTCAGACGGGCCTGTATATGTGCTTTCTTGAGCAGGGGGACCTTGTGGGCGCTGCAGGATTTCAGTCCTTCACGGCGTAGTGTGTTACCAATTGTTTTCTTGGTGACTATGGTCCCAGCTGCCTTGAGATCATTGACAAGATCCTCCCGTGTAGTTCTGGGCTGATTCCTCATGATCATTGCAACTCCACGAGGTGAGATCTTGCATGGAGCCCCAGGCAGAGGGAGATTGACAGTTCTTTTGTGTTTCTTCCATTTGCGAATAATCGCACCAACTGTCACCTTCTCACCAAGCTGCTTGGCGATGGTCTTGTAGCTGACATCCTTGGAGAGCTCTTTGGTCTTGGCCATGGTGGAGAGTTTGGAATCTGATTGATTGCTTCTGTGGACAGGTGTCTTTTATACAGGTAACAAACTGAGATTAGGAGCACTCCCTTTAAGAGTGCTCCTAATCTCAGCTCGTTACCTGTATAAAAGACACCTGGGAGCCAGAAATATTTCTGATTGAGAGGGGGTCAAATACTTATTTCCCTCATTAAAATGCAAATCAATTTATAACATTTTTGACATGCGTTTTTCTGGATTTGTTTGTTGTTATTCTGTCTCACTGTTCAAATAAACCTACCATTAAAATTATAGACTGATCATTTCTTTGTCAGTGGGCAAACGTACAAAATCAGCAGGGGATCAAATACTTTTTTCCCTCACTGTAGGTAATAGGGTACCCATTGGGACATAACGACAGTCTTTGAGCAGTTCTGAAGTGTGCCACTGTCCGAGTGAGAGCCCGGGGATGGAATAAACTGCTCGGTGGTGTACTAGACTGGCCTGTCTGCCTGCTTATTTCTGCCTCCTTTCACTTCACTCACCATCAATTCCTACTGGACAGGCATGCTTTGTATTCCAGTCAACTTTCACAATTCAATAAATACTTTTATTTTTTTATTTTCTGTTACTCATGTATTTCTATTTTCCTCTGGAAAGAGCTTCATATAATAAAGTAAGTAACAAATGATCTGCATTATGCACACACCTGTACCTGTTTGTTTCAGGAGGGACGGGCAAAAAGACGTCTTCTTCCATGAGCAGGTCCTCAGCTGGTTTTGAATCCAGTCACCTCCCATCCCCAGAGTCCCCCGGCCTCCCCCTCACCCCAAACCACACCAGCCTCCCCCTGACCCACCCCAGCAAGACCACCCTACAGACCAGACCAGTGCACCAGTCCTCTACCTTACCATCTCTAGGCGCCTCTATGACCAGCTGCAACCTTCTGAGCCCAGGCAGGAGCCAGAGCCATTACAGTCACACCCACAGAGCCATGCCACTGAGGAGCTGGAGCTGTGAGTACCTGGGGCTGCTGAGACCCTGCCTCTACCTGGGGGAGCTCCACTCAGACCAGGTCCTCCACACCACTGAGCTCCACACCCTGGAAGGCCTGAAGCCAGCTCATACCACCATGTCCAAGGCTGAGGGACAGGGCTACCCTACACAAGAGGAGGCCCTACAGCAGTTGTTGACACACTCTGAAGGATCCTCCCTACCCTCACAACCACTGCTCACCTCACCTTGTAGTGGTCTGTCTGATACGTTAGAGTTGGACATGGGAGTTCCCAGGTTAACAGGCCTTCTTCCACGCACCCACCTCAAAATATCCCCTCCAGCACCAAGACATAGGCCCAAGCATCGTTCAGCCAAGCCTTTCCTGTCAAACCCATGTACACCATTATCACCCCCAGCATTGACCAGTGACGGTGGTAGTGCCTGTAAACTCTTCTCTTTAAATGGCACCTCTTTAAAGGATGACGTTATTACAGAGGCAGCAACCCAACCGTGCAGCTCAGACTGTGACCTTGCAGATTCTCCTCTCCAGTCTGAAGCCCACAGGACGCAGCCTGCTGGGGGAATGAAAACTATGCCTGTCAGGTCGGTCAACCTGGGATCCCTCCTGGAGGAAAGACTGGAGTCAGAGGGGATAGATCTGACAGCGGAGCCCTTCTCTGACAAGGTACGCCCTCACCACATATACAGTACTCGTGGTAGTACCATGGTAGTACTATTCTCATGCAGTACTAAGAAGTACTATGGTAGCACTATGCTCACTCAGGATTAAGCAGCAGTACTATGCTCATACATTTCAATGTGTGTCCATGTAATTACTGTGTTCAGTTACATAAGGTATCCACAGTGCTGTCTACATGCAAAAGGGTACACAACACATTCACTGGCTTCCTCACAAATGGCACCCTATTCCCTATATAGTGCACTACTTTTGGCCAGGGCCCATAGCACTATATAGGGAATAGGGTGCCATTTGGTACAGACTCACAGTGTTGCCCCTTTAAGCCCAGTGTTTCACTCTGACCTATCTCCACCTGCAGTATGGTCGCTATGGAATCCCCCAGTCTCTGGTCCAGAGGTACTCCACTGAGCTGAACCAGCCTCTAACAGAGACCATGTATGCCATGGACCTGCTCAGACTCACACAGCTCCGCAAGCAGCAGCGCATGGCAGTGAGTGACCTTTTATACTACTACAGTCTTAATTTGTTCATTTTTTAGAACATTTAAATAAGTTCAGCTCGGGGTAGCATTATCTAAATGACACTGCTCTAAATGGCTTTTCCTATCCTCCATACCCCCAGGTGTGTCAAAAGCCACAGACCCTAGCGCATGGACTAACAGCAGTGACACAAATATAATTTACTGCAGCTTACTGGGTTTCCTATCAAGGTGTCGTATCAAGTAATTTACCTTTAACCCTGTTTGATTCTAAACTAATATGAACGTTGCCAAGCTGTCATGTTAATAGTGTACATGAAATACTGTGACTGAGGACTACTGATTTTTTTCATTTGTATATTGTGTACGGTTGAGTGCCATTAAAGCAATACAAAACAATGTCTTTCAGTGTACCTTTTCTGGAAAGTTAAAATGTATTAAAAAAATCTGAGACATCTGAACATAAAACATGATTTATAACAATACTAACTGAAATGTCTATGTGCCGTACTGTTCTACTGCAGCGATGATCTTTTGCTTGTCTGAAATATCCTTCTTCTGAGGGGTTTTGGCTATGTTTAAAAAACAAAGTACTGTTCAGTAGAATCCAGAAATGCATTAATTAAATGTAATTAGTCTTGGTAGCATCCAAAACATTCAAATGACATAACATTATTTCACAGTAGAGATTAAATTCATAAAATCAATTGCATTTTATATCAAGCCGGCAAAATCTCAACTCTTGCATTCATTAAATTAATGTGCAATGGCAGGTATCACTAATTGTGACTCAAAAAGGTGCATACCGAGTGAATAGATCATATCATTTCATGATTTTTTATTTTATTTATTTTATATACAGTGGGGAGAACAAGTATTTGATACACTGCCGATTTTGTAGGTTTTCCTACTTACAAAGCATGTAGAGGTCTGTAATTTTTATCATAGGTACACTTCAACTGTGAGAGACGGAATCTAAAACAAAAATCCAGAAAATCACATTGTATGATTTTTAAGTAATTAATTTGCATTTTATTGCATGACATAAGTATTTGATCACCTACCAACCAGTAAGAATTCCGGCTCTCACAGACCTGTTAGTTTTTCTTTAAGAAGCCCTCCTGTTCTCCACTCATTACCTGTATTAACTGCACCTGTTTGAACTCATTACCTGTATAAAAACACCTGTCCACACACTCAATCAAACAGACTCCAACCTCTCCACAATGGCCAAGACTAGAGAGCTGTGTAAGGACATCAGGGATAAAATTGTAGACCTGCACAAGGCTGGGATGGGCTACAGGACAATAGGCAAGCAGCTTGGTGAGAAGGAAACAACTGTTGGCGCAATTATTAGAAAATGGAAGAAGTTCAAGATGACGGTCAATCACCCTCGGTCTGGGGCTCCATGCAAGATCTCACCTCGTGGGGCATCAATGATCATGAGGAAGGTGAGGGATCAGCTCAGAACTACACGGCAGGACCTGGTCAATGACCTGAAGAGAGCTAGGACCACAGTCTCAAAGAAAACCATTAGTAACACACTACGCCGTCATGGATTAAAATCCTGCATCGCACGCAAGGTCCCCCTGCTCAAGCCAGCGCATGTCCAGGCCCGTCTGAAGTTTGCCAATGACCATCTGGATGATCCAGAGGAGGAATGGGAGAAGGTCATGTGGTCTGATGAGACAAAAATATAGCTTTTTGGTCTAAACTCCACTCGCCGTGTTTGGAGGAAGAAGAAGGATGAGTACAACCACAAGAACACCATCCCAACCGTGAAGCATAGAGGTGGAAACATCATTCTTTGGGGATGCTTTTCTGCAAAGGGGACAGGACGACTGCACCGTATTGAGGGGAGGATGGATGGGGCCATGTATCGCGAGATCTTGGCCAACAACCTCCTTCCCTCAGTAAGAGCATTGAAGATGGGTCGTGGCTGGGTCTTCCAGCATGACAACGACCCGAAACACACAGCCAGGGCAACTAAGGAGTGGCTCCGTAAGAAGCATCTCAAGGTCCTGGAGTGGCCTAGCCAGTCTCCAGACCTGAACCCAATAGAAAATCTTTGGAGGGAGCTGAAAGTCCGTATTGCCCAGCGACAGCACCGAAACCTGAAGGATCTGGAGAAGGTCTGTATGGAGGAGTGGGCCAAAATCCCTGCTGCAGTGTGTGCAAACCTGGTCAAGACCTACAGGAAACGTATGATCTCTGTAATTGCAAACAAAGGTTTCTGTACCAAATATTAAGTTCTGCTTTTCTGATGTATCAAATACTTATGTCATGCAATAAAATGCAAATTAATTACTTAAAAATCATACAATGTGATTTTCTGGATTTTTGTTTTAGATTCCGTCTCTCACAGTTGAAGTGTACCTATGATAAAAATGACAGACCTCTACATTCTTTGTAAGTAGGAAAACCTGCAAAATCGGCAGTGTATCAAATACTTGTTCTCCCCACTGTATATATTTTTTTACCTTTATTAAACCAGGTAAGCCAGTTGAGAACAAGTTCTCATTTACAACTGCGACCTGGCCAAGATAAAGCAAAGCAGTGCGATAAAAACAACAACAACATAGAGTTACATATGGGGTAAAACAAAACAAAGTAAAAAATACCACAGAAAATATGGGGATGAGGTAGTTGAGTGGGCTAATTTCAGAAGGGCTGTGTACAGGTGCAGTGAGCGGTAAGGTGCTCTGACAACTGATGCTTAAAGTTAGTGAGGGAGATAAGAGTCTCCAGCTTCAGAGATTTTTGCAGTTCGTTCCAGTCATTGGCAGCAGAGAACTGGAAGGAATGGCGGCCAAAGGAGGTGTTGGCTTTGGGGATGACCAGTGAGAGATACCTGCTGGAGCGCATACTACGGGTGGGTGTTGCTATGGTGACCAATGAGCTAAGATAAGGCAGAGATTTGCCTAGCAGTGATTTATAGATGGCCTGGAGACAGTGGGTTTGGCAACGAATATGTAGTGAGGACCAGCCAACAAGAGCGTACAGGTCACAGTGGTGGGTAGTATATGGGGCTTTGGTGACAAAACGGATGGCACTGTGATAGACTACATCCAATTTGCTGAGTAGAGTGTTGGAGGCTATTTTGTAAATGACATCGCCGAAGTCAAGGATCGGTAGGATAGTCAGTTTTACAAGGGCATGTTTGGCAGCATAAGTGAAGGAGGCTTTGTTGCGAAATAGGAAGCTGATTCTAGATTTAACTTTGGATTGGAGATGCTTAATGTGAGTCTGGAAGGAGAGTTTACAGTCTAACCAGACACCTAGGTATTTGTAGTTGTCCACATACTCTAGGTCAGACCCGTCGAGAGTAGTGATTCTAGTCAGGTGGGCGGGTGCCAGCAGCGTTTGATTGAAGAGCATGCATTTAGTTTTACTAGTGTTTAAGAGCAGTTGGAGGCTACGGAAGGAGTGTTGTATGGCATTGAAGCTTGTTTGGAGGTTTGTTAAGAGTGTCCAATGAAGGGCCAGATGTATACAAAATGGTGTCGTCTGCGTAGAGGTGGATCTGAGAGTCACCAGCAGCAAGAGCGACATCATTGATCTACACGGAGAAAAGAGTCGGCCCAAGAATTGAACCCTGTGGCACCCCCATAGAGACTGCCATAGGTCCAGACAACAGGCCCTCCGATTTGACACAGAGTTCAATCTGAGAAGTAGTTGGTGAACCAGGCGAGGCAGTCATTTGAGAAACCAAGTCTATTTAGTCTGCCAATAAGAATGCGGTGGTTGACAGAGTCTAAAGCCTTGGCCAGGTCGATGAAGACGGCTGCACAGTACTGTCTATTATCGATCGCGGTTATAATATCGTTTAGGACCTTGAGCGTGGCTGAGGTGCACCCATGACCAGCTCGGAAACCGGATTGCATAGCGGAGAAGGTACGATGGGATTCGAAATGGTCAGTGATCTGTTTAACTTGGCTTTCAAAAACTTTCGAAAGGCAGGGCAGGATGGATATAGGTCTGTAACAGTTTGGATCTAGGGTGTTACCCCCTTTGAAGAGGGGGATGACCGCGGCAGCTTTCCAATCTCTGGGGATCTCAGACGTTACGAAAGAGAGGTTGAACAGGCTAGTAATAGGGGTTGCGACAATTTCGGCGGCAATTTTTAGAAAGAAAGGGTACAGATTGTCTAGCCCAGATGATTTGTAGGGGTCCAGATTTTGCAGCTCTTTCAGAACATCAGCTGTCTGAATTTGTGTGAAGGAGAAGCGGGGGGGGCATGGGCAAGTTGCCGGGGTAGTGGTAGGCAGGTGGAAAGCATGGCCAGCCGTAGCAAAATGCTTGTTGAAATTCTCGATTATTGTACATTTATCGGTGGTGATAGTGTTTCCTAGCCTCAGTGCAGTGGGCAGCTGGGAGGAGGTGCTCTTATTCTCCATGGACTTTACAGTGTCCCAAAACTTTTTGGAGTTAGTGCTACAGGATGCACATTTCTGTTAGGAAAGCAAAGGCTAGCTTTTTCAAACTGCTTGTGTATATTGGTTCCTAACTTCCCTGAAAAGTTGCATATCGCGGGGGCTATTCGACGCTAATGCAGTACGCCACAGGATGTTTTTGTGCTGGTCAAGGGCAGTCAAGTCTGAGGAGAACCAGGGGCTATATCTGTTCTTAGTTCTGAATTTTTTGAATGGGGCATGCTTATTTAAGATGGAGAGGAAAGCACTTTTAAAGAACAACCAGGCATCCTCTACTGACGGAATGAGATCGATATCCATCCAGGATACCTGGGCCAGGTCAATTAGGAAGGCCTGCTCGCTAAAGTATTTTAGGGAGCGTTTGACAGTGATGAGGGGTGGTCGTTTGACCGCGGACCCGTTATGGACGCAGGCAATAAGGCAGTGATCGCTGAGATCCTGGTTGAAGACAGCGGAGGTGTATTTAGAGGGTAAGTTAGTCAGGATGATATCTATGAGGGTGCCCATGTTTACGGATTTAGGGTTGTACCTGGTAGGTTCCTTGATAATTTGTGTGAGATTAGGTCACCAAGCAGTACGAACTCTGAGGATAGATGGGGGGCGATCAATTCACATATGGTGTCCAGGGCACAGCTGGGGGCTGAGGGGGGTCTGTAGCAAGCGGCAAGGTGGATTTTTAGAAGTAGGAGCTCAAACCGTTTGGGCACAGACCTGGATAGTATGATAGAGCTCTGCAGGCTAACTCCACCCCCTTTGGCAGTTCTATCTAGATGGAAAATGTTGTAGTTGGGGATGGAAATTTGTGAATTTTTGGTGGCCTTCCTAAGCCAGGATTCAGACACTGCTAGAACATCAGGGTTGGCGGAGTGTGCTAACGCAGTGAATAACTCAAACTTAGGAAGGAGGCTTGTGATGTTAACGTACAGAAAACCAAGGCTTTTACGGTTACAGAAGTCAACAGATGATAACTCCTGGGGAGTAGGAGTGATACTGGGGGCTGCAGGGCCTGGGTTAGCCTCTACATCACCAGAGGAACAGAGGAGGACTAGAATAAGGATACGGCTAAAGGCTTTAAGAACTGGTCTTCTAGTGCGTTGGGTACAGAGAATAAAGAGGGCAGATTTCCGGGCGTTGTAGAATAGATTCAGGGCATTATGTACAGACAAGGATATGGAAGGATATGAGTACAGTGGAGGTAAACCTAAGCGTTGGGTAACAATGAAAGAGAGCATCACTGGAGGCACCGATTGAGCCGGTCTCGGCGTGTATGGGGGGTGGAACCAAGGAGCTATTTGAGGCAGTTTGAGAATGACTTGGGGTTCTATATTGAAATTGTATAATAAAAACTAACTGGAACAGCAATAGGCAAGGCATATTGACATGGGAGAGAGGCATAAAGCAATCACAGGTGGTATTAGAGAGAGCTATGACAACAACTGGTAATGGCGCCATCTTGGATTTATCTCTAGCAGAGCATCTGTTTACAGCCTGGCCCTGAAGGGCCTCTGTTCAGAAATCATTCGCATTTTATTTCAAGACCGCAAAATCTTTTCACTCATTCATTGCTTTCTTTTCATTTATAACAGCAGGTATCACTAATTGTGACTAATTGTTTTAACAAAAAATGGTACAGAGTGAGTGATTTATATTATTATATCATATTCTATCATGATTTCTATGGCAGAGCATTTGCATAGTGTTCACAGCTTGGCCCTGGGGGGCCTCTCATGGAGACACTTCCCGACCAGCCCAAGTGTGTCCAGGGCCGTGCCCCAGCTCAGTGACCACCCCAACCCCCATGGCCATAGTTATGCACCGCAGGTACCTGTCGGCTCCCTAGGAGGACAAGCGCTCTCTCCACCCGGACGTTCTTCCGACCGAGTCTCAGCCCCACAGACACCCCCAGGACCCTGGCCCTGCTCAGGGACGGCTCCAGCCTGCTTACAGCACTCCACGATGCCCTGGCTGTCCCCTGGATCCACCAAGCGCCCGTCGTCCACCTGCCTACGGTACCAAACAGTCGCACAAAGACATCAACTGTCTTTCCTCCAAAGAGCATACAGATTTAACCTGTAGTGAACATGTGGACAGTTTTTGTAGTTCTTAGTGGTAGAACCTGGGCATCCCCCTTTCTATATTATCATCATGTAGTTTTGTTTATTTCAGAGTATTCCTCATCATCATGTAAAGAGCATCTCATTTTATGATGCAATGATATTTTCTAATAAACTTGAACTGCACTTGTCTGGTGTGCCGCCCATCGTCACGCTGTGCATCCTTGGGTAGATGTAGAACTGCCCTTCACCATTCTGGATGAAGTGTTGGAGCCAGGGTGCCTGGACCTTCAAATCAAAGTTTGTCATATACAGCATAGTGTACGCAGCACAATGAAATGCTTATTTACAAGCTCTCCTCTCAGGTATGTGTGTATAAATACCTTCAGAACCTGTCCCCTAACAGGGTAGATCTGAGAGTCCCCTACTAAAGACTTGGCACCCAGACCGGAGCAGTTGACAATAACGTCATATTCCTGGCTGCTTAGTTCCTGGAGATGTGTTTACTTTCTGCTTCACAACCTGGCCTCCTGCTTTTATAAACCTAAAACAAAGTCACAAAAAACAAAGTCAAAAAAGATTTGGAAACAAAGAAAAGCCAGTCATCCATATTCAACTTCATGAAGTACAGTGAGGGAAAAAGGTATTTGATCCCCTGCTGATTTTGTACGTTTGCCCACTGACAAAGACATGATCAGTCTATAATTTTAATGGTAGGTTTATTTGAACAGTGAGAGACAGAATAACAACAAAAAAATTAAGAAAACCGCATGTCAAAAATTTTATAAATTGATTTGCATTTTAATGAGGGAAGTAAGTATTTGACCCCATCTACAAAACATGACTTAGTACTTGGTGGCAAAACCCTTGTTGGCAATCACAGAGGTCAGACGTTTCTTGTAGTTGGCCACCAGGTTTGCACACATCTCAGGAGGGATTTTGTTCCACTCTTTGCAGATCTTCTCCAAGTCATTAAGGTTTCGAGGCTGACGTTTGGCAACTCGAACCTTCAGCTCCCTCCACAGATTTTCTATGGGATTAAGGTCTGGAGACTGGCTAGGCCACTCCAGGACCTTAATGTGCTTCTTCTTGAGCCACTCCTTTGTTGCCTTGGCCGTGTGTTTTGGGTCATTGTCATGCTGGAATACCCATCCACAACCCATTTTCAATGCCCTTGCTGAGGGAAGGAGGTTCTCACCCAGGATTTGACGGTACATGGCCCCGTCCATCGTCTCTTTGATGCGGTGAAGTTGTCCTTTCCCCTTAGCAGAAAAACACCCCCAAAGCATAATGTTTCCACCTCCATGTTTGACAGTGGGGATGGTGTTCTTGGGGTCATAGGCAGCATTCCTCCTCCTACAAACACAGGGAGTTGAGCTGATGCCAAAGAGCTCGATTTTGGTCTCATCTGACCACAACACTTTCACCCAGTTCTCCTCTGAATCATTCAGATGTTCATTGGCAAACTTCAGACGGCCCTGTATATGTGCTTTCTTGAGCAGGGGGACCTTGCGGGCGCTGCAGGATTTCAGTCCTTCACGGCGTAGTGTGTTACCAATTGTTTTCTTGGTGACTATGGTCCCAACTGCCTTGAGATCATTGACAAGATCCTCCCGTGTAGTTCTGGGCTGATTCCTCACCGTTCTCATGATCATTGCAACTCCACGAGGTGAGATCTTGCATGGACCCCCAGTTTCTTCCATTTGCGAATAATCGCACCAACTGTTGTCACCTTCTCACCAAGCTGCTTACCGATGGTCTTGTAGCCCATTACAGCCTTGTGTAGGTCTACAATCTTGTCCCTGACATCCTTGGAGAGCTCTTTGGTCTTGGCCATGGTGGAGAGTTTGGAATCTGATTGATTGATTGCTTCTGTGGACAGGTGTCTTTTATACAGGTAACAAGCTAAGATTAGGAGCACTCCCTTTAAGAGTGTGCTCCTAATCTCAGCTCGTTACCTGTATAAAAGACACCCGGGAGCCAGAAATCTTTCTGATTGAGAGGGGGTCAAATACTTATTTCCCTCATTAAAATGCAAATCAATTTATAACATTTTTGACATGCATTTTTCTGGATTTTTTGTTGTTGTTATTCTGTCTCTCACTGTTCAAATAAAGCTACCATTAAAATTATAGACTGATAATTTCTTTGTCAGTGGGCAAACGTACAAAATCAGCAGGGGATCAAATACTTTTTTCCCTCACTGTACATACAGTGCCTTCAGAAAGTATTCACACCCCTTTACTTTTTCCACAATTTGTCTTACAGCCTGAATTTAAAATTGATTAAATTGAGATGTTGTGTCACTGATCTACACACAATACCCAATAATATCAAAATATAATTTTGTTTGTAGAACATTTTAGAAATGTATGAAAAATAAAAAGCTAAAATGTCTTGAGTCAATAAGTATTCAAGCCAAAATAAGTTCAGGAGTGGAAATGTGCTTAACAAATCGCATAATAAGTTGCATGGACTCATTCCGTGTTCAATAATAGTGGCTAACATGATTTTTGATTGACTACCCCATCTCTCTACCACACACACACACAATTATCTGTAAGGTCCCTCAATCGAGTAGTGAATTTCAAGAACAAATTCCACCACAAAGACCAGGGAGGTTGTTCAATGCCTCGCAAAGAAGGGCACCGCTGAACATCCCTTTGAGCATGGTGAAGTTATTAATTAGGCGTATCAATACACCCAGTCACTACAAAGATACAGGCCTCCTTCCTAACTCAGTTGCAGGAGAGTAAGAATAATGCTCAGGTATTTCACCATGAGGCCAATGGTGATTTTTCCAAACAGTTACGAGTTTAATGGTTGTGATATGAGAACTGAGGATGGACAAGGATGGATCAACCACACTAACCTAAATAACAGAGTGAAAAGGAAGCCTGTACAGAATTTTAAAAAATCAAAAGCATGCATCCTGTTTGCAACAAGGCACTTAAGCAATACTGCAAAAACGTTTTGTCCTGAATACAAAGCCTTATGTTTGAGGCAAATCCAACACACCACAACACATCACTGAGTACCACTCTAAATATTTTCAAGCATGGTGGTGGCTGCATAATATTATGGGTATGCTTGTAGTCGGCAAGTACTAGGGATACAAAATAAACTAAATACATCTAAACTCAGCAAAAAAAGAAACATCCTCTCACTGTCAACTGTGTTTATTTACAGCAAACTTAACGTGTAGATATTTGTATGAACATAACAAGATTCAACAACTGAGACATAAACTGAACAAATTCCACAGACATGACTAACAGAAATTGAATAATGTGTCCCTGAACAAAGGGGGAGTCAAAATCAAAAGTAACAGTCAGTATCAGGTGTGGCCACCAGCTGCATTAAGTACTGCATTGCATCTCCTCCTCATGGACTGCACCAGATTTTCCAGTTCTTGCTGTGAGATGTTACCCCACTCTTCCACCAAGGCACCTGCAAGTTCCCGGACATTTCTGGGGGGAATGGCCCTAGCCCTCACCCTCCAATCCAACAGGTCCCAGACGTGCTCAATGGGATTGAGATCCGGGCTCTTCGCTGGCCATGGCAGAACACTGACATTCCTGTCTTGCAGGAAATCACGCACAGAACGAGCAATATGGCTGGTGGCATTGTCATGCTGGAGGATCATGTCAGGATGAGCCTGCAGGAAGGGTACCACATGAGGGAGGAGGATGTCGTCCCTGTAACGCACAGCGTTGAGATTGCCTGCAATGACAACAAGCTCAGTCCGATGATACTGTGACACACCGTCCCAGACCATGACGGACCATCCATCTCCAAATCGATCCCGCTCCAGAGTACAGGCCTCGGTGTAACGCCCAATCCTTCGACAATAAACGCTAATCCGACGGTGGGTTTGTGCCCATAGGAAACGTTGTTGCCGGTGATGTCTGGTGACGACCTGTCTTACAACAGGCCTACAAGCCCTAAGTCCAGCCTCTCTCAGCCTATTGCGGACAGTCTGAGCACTGATGGAGGGATTGTGCATTCCTGGTGTAACTCGGGCAGTTGTTGTTGCCATCCTGTACCTGTCCCGCAGGTGTGATGTTCGGATGTACCAATCCTGTGCAGGTGTTGCTACACGTGGTCTGCCACTGCGAGGACGATCAGCTGTCCATCCTGTCTCCCTGTAGCGCTGTCTTAGTACACAGTACGGACATCGTAATTTATTGCCCTGGCCACATCTGCAGTCCTCATGCCTCCTTGCAGCATGCCTAAGGCACGTTCACGCAGATGAGCAGGGACCCTGGGCATCTTTCTTTTGATGTTTTTCAGAGTCAGTAGAAAGGCCTCTTTAGTGTCATACGTTTTCATAACTGTGACCTTAATTGCCTACTGTCTGTAAGCTGTTAGTGTCTTAACAACCGTTCCACAGGTGCATGTTCATTAATTGTTTATGGTTCATTGAACAAGCATGGGAAACAGTGTTTAAACCCTTTACAGTGAAGATCTATTGAAGTTATTTGGATTTTTTCTTTTTTTGCTGAATTTATAAGCACAGGCAAAATCCTAAAGGAAAACCTGGTTCAGATCTACACTGGAGTTGCTTACCAAGACAACATTGAATGTTCCTGAGTGGCCCAGTTACAGCTTTGACTTAAATTGGCTTGAAAATCTATGGCAAGACTTGAAAATGGCTGTTTAGCAATGATTAACAATCAACTCGACTGAGCTTGAAGAATTTTTTTAAGAATGGGCAAATATTGTACAATCCAGGTGTGCAAAGCTCTTAGAGACTTAACCAGAAAGTCTCACAGCTGTTATCGCTGCCAAAGGTGAATACTTAGTGGCTTGCGAAAGTATTCACCCCCCTTTTGGCATTTTTTCTATTTTGTTGCCTGACAACCTGGAATTAAAATGGATTTTTTGGGGGGTTTGTTTCATTTGATTTACACAACATGCCTACCACTTTGAAGATGCAAAATATATTTTCTTGTTAAACAAACAAGAAATGAGACAAAAAAACTGAAAACTTGAGCGTGCGTTACTATTCACCCCCCCAAAGTCAATACTTTGTAGAGCCACCTTTTGCAGCAATTACAGCTGCAAGTCTCTTGGGGTATGTTTCTATAAGCTTGGCACATCTAGCCACTGGGATTTTGGCCCATTCTTCAAGGCAAAATTGCTCCAGCTCCTTCAAGTTGGATGGGTTCCGCTGGTGTACTGCAATCTTTAAGTCTTACCACAGATTCTCAATTGGATTGAGGTCTGGGCTTTGACTAGGCCGTTCCAAGACATTTAAATGTTTCCCCTTAAACCATTCGAGTGTTGCTTTAGCAGTATGCTTAGGGTCATTGTCC